AAAAAAAAAAAAAAAAAAAAAAAAAAAAAAAAAAAAAAAAAAAAAAAAAACATAAATAGATATGAATCAGTCATCTAAAACTCTCACTTTTTTCCAGAATCCAAAAAGGTTTTGCACACTTAGCAAGCCATGAGCTTTAATAATTGAGCTTCAATGTGGTTTGGTTTGCCTTCTTGCCCACCACACCATACACCATACGTTTTCAATTGAATACAAAACTCAAAGTTTAAGAATCTATTAGACATATATTAACAGAGTTTGATAAACTTAAGAAATTTGGAGACTAAATTTTTAATAAATAAAAAAATAATAATAATAATAAAATAGGTTGTGGGTTATGGGGAAGATAAACACATGGGAACATTCATGCCCTACACTTTTCTTTTTCTATACATTATTCTTCTTCTACTTCTTCCTTTTGTATTAATTTTTATTTATTTTTATTATTTTTTATTTTATTGCATGTGATGAGTTTGGTCCAATTCCAACTCAGCCCAAATGCATAAACCCTAATTAGCCCTTATCTTATGAGCCCCTCTTTTTTTTTTTTTTTTTTTTTTTAATTCACACTTTTTTCCATTTTCTTTTTACTTTTCCTTTTTAATCTTTGCTTCTTCACCTTCTTTTTCTGAGGTTCGAATTTGAATGATTTGAAATCGAGTAAGAGTCGACTGCTTTTAGTGTCTCACCATTGGACATTGATATTACCTAACTTTTAAGCTTCGACCCACTTGAATTAAAACGAAAATTTATCATTCATTTTCAAACCCCAAATCATCTTTCTTTTAAATAAGTAATAATGTAAGAGGTCGTTCCCTCCATGTGCATATCGTGTAGCTATCTTAAAAGCAAACTGAAACCCACCTCTAACAAATATTGCCTACTTAGGCCTCTCTTAAGTATTGTCGTTAGAATGCATCTGCTGAGAAGAGGTTCTACACCCAAAATGGATCGTCTTTCTCCCTAACACGGGTCAATCTTTAAAAGTCAAACTCACCCTCGATCTAGGCTCGAGAGGAGGGTGGAGACAAATATGAGAAAATGTTTGGATGTTTGAATAGATAAGTGAGAATTTCTTAACACCAAATAAATGTCGAGAAAAAAAAGGGGGAATTTTGTTGAACCAAAGCAAAAGGAAAAGAGGGTCTCTAAGTCTTTAAGATGTCCCTTTCATTTTTGTTTGTGGGTCCCTTTTGCTTGTAAGCTATTTTGTCAAATTCCCATTTTAAAAGAAATACCATTTAAAAAATAAATAAAATTGGCAACCTCATAAATAATCCATCATTTTGTACCCTTTTCAAATAAACACGACACTCGAAACCCAATAGACCAACCAAATAACGTGGGGTTCAAAATTTTCGTTTTATTTCTTCAAATTTGAAATTATTTTTAAAATATTTATCGACATTTTTTTCATTATAATCGTAGATGAAAATTGACATTGAAATTTAAACACGTACCTGACTTCAATACCACTCGTGAAAATTGACGTGACAATTAATGAATAAAAATTCGTTTTTGTTAATAAAAAAAAAATTATAGAACGTGGCATTCAAAAATAAATATATTTTGTAAATTAAAATTGATGTGTATATTATACAAAGGAGAGGGAGGACCGATTTGAAATTGATGTCTGTGGTTCGGATGGACAGACCGGCCAAAAGAGGCAACAAAATGCCGGTCGCGGGTTGGTCCTTCCCGCGGTTCGGACCAACGCAGCACATGTGGCGCTACTGTAGCCGTCCCACCCTCATCCCCTTTTGCTTGGCGCCTTTCTTTTTTTTTTTCTTTCATAAATGTATTTATTTAAATTTACTCTTATTTATTTAAGATATTTAAATTTAATCTCTACCGTTTTAATATATATATATATATATATATATATAAATAATATGATTTTGATCGATTATATTTTGTAATATAAATATTATCCTTAACTAATAAGGCAACCCTAATCCTCAGCCCAATGATCTAAACTTATGTTGAAGAAAGAACCCTTGAATTAAAGTAATTAACATTTCCTTATACGAAATTTGGATCTATCAAGAGATAAGGCTATAATTAGATTACTTCTTACTATCGAAAATCTAGAAGCAAGATTTGAAAACTTTGTTCTAAATTAAGTCACTCCACAATCTAACTTGATCAAGGATTGATTGAATGGCTCGAGTGCAATTTTACCACAAGAATTGCTTGAAACTTGGAAATGACAAATATGATGCTCGGATTTCTAAGGGAAACGTCTCACTTTGAGATCTGAATTACATTCATCCACCCATCTGAATTTTACCTAACATATTGTGGGTATTTAGAGTGGATTTAACTTTTACATAATTTATGAAATTAAACATAGTTTTTTCTGACCAATGTTGATGTGCTGAGTGGCTAATGCGACAGGTTTGAAATCAATTGAGCTCTCCGATTCTGAATTCTGTTGTTTACATATATATTTTTTGAATCTTCTTGGCAATAGGTCCATTTAGAACACCATGATTCTTATCACTAACTGACATATCAATGTATCTAATATAAATTTTCTTTCTAGTGACGTAACACGATCCATTGAAGTAGACCTGCACCAGAGTTGATTCAAATTAGACCATCATTCTCTCCAGATTCAACACTGGTTAAGGAATTTCTCTTAGCTAGCCGTGTTTGTAACACCATAACCCGTGACCTAGTGGTTCCATTTAAATCTAATTATGATTATTTTTTTTAATAATAAATTGATTGAGTTGCGATGACAATAAAATGTGAGCTACTTGGAAAAAGAAAAAGATGGGTTGTTAATATAATAAACCCCACCAAGTTGGACTCATAATTTAGGTAGGTTGTCTTCATTAAATAATGTTAAAAATTAAAAAATAAATAAAAGAATCAAAATACACTTTAAACATATGGGCCCTTTCTATCACTCTTTATATAATTATTACTATATAATAATCATGATTTCATTTTCTTTCAGATCTCTACTTATAATTGCTCATTCATTGCACTTAATTTCGCTCCTAAGTTTGTTTAGTTCCTTAATTTGTGTATTAAAAAACACCCCATAAATTGTCTTATAAATTAGTATAATGTTATAACATTCTAATAATTTGATTTAAAAGCATATAA